GGACAACATGACCTATCTAAATATGATTGGTCATTAGTATGTACTTTTGTTTTTTTTATTTAACCGAGTAATTGTCATGAACTTTATTTCATTATTGTTAACCATGTTAGTTGTAAAGAAACTGCGAAATGAAGATATCATCTCGCGAAATTTGTCTTCTTAATGCCTTATTCAAATTTATCAAAGGGACTAATTGTTTTAATTCCATATTAGTTTGTTTATGAAATGTATCACACAGTGAAACAGTATTATTTACTGGATGACGTTTCGAAGAAAACTTGTTGTTCATAAACATATCACTTGTAGTCACACGACTTTGAAACAGAAGCTTTGTTTATCGAATCAACTGCAAACACGTGTAATAAGAATGATTCAACAACTGTTCCAGATATCTGGAAAACTTTACTAGTATCTCTACGATGACAAATAGGAGAGAACAAAGAAAACTATAAAACTCAAGTTTCGAAGTCGTGCGATTATAATTGAAGATATGATTATGAACAATGATAGATTTTGTTCGAAACCTTGTCATCCAGTAAATAATACTGCTGTTTCACTGATTGTGTGATCTATCTAATAAACAAACTAATATGGAGTCCATTTTTATTTGAATTGACTTGACAATTAAATGTATGGCGGATCAGATTGTTCGAAACGTAGATGGCGCAAATGCATCGCACCACCTTTTTCAGATAATCTCTGTCTTCTGCTAACATTATCCAAACAGCCAGTATAAATACAATTTAGTCATTATAAAGAACTTTTATAAGACATGTAGGCTTACTGCAAGGTAGGTGAGTCTAAGAAGTACGTTGGTCAGGGATCAAACCACGCTTACATACATGGTTGGCAACCATTCTCTTATTTGACCACCAAAAGCATATTATAGCATGTTATATAGCCTTTATTAAATCACGAATTATCCGACGTTGCAAGTCTCAGAACTCTGAGTTGTACCGTAGCCAGAGTGGTAACATTTAGCTTCATTCAAGGTTTTTTGGTTGAGTATCACCCAGGAGACTTTCAATAATAATAATAACAATAATTTGCTTTATTCCAAAACAGTACATGTGATACAGAATGGAATTCTCAGCATTTTTACTACAGTATTGCATCCAGTTAGTACATTATCAATAAATAAAATTCTACATAGATTAAGGAAATCTAAGTTCATTATGACATTGGCATGTCGGTAGCAAAGACAAAGTTGAACAGTGTTTGAAGGTGTTAGAAAAGTAGGAGCTGTCATATTTACTGGCATTGGCGGAAGAAAGAAACAAATCAGCATATAACGGAAGGAAAAGAGAGAAGAAAGGGAAAAGAAAGAAAGAAAATGTTGTACCTATTGATGATGTGAGTTGGAAAGACGAGGTCCAGTTGTTCTACTGACTATTTAATGAATTATAAGTGTCACGTCTAATGCTTTCTTTATCGCACAGAACACGAGCTAATTAGGGTATGGTTGAGTTTCTGTACTTGCTGGTGCTAGCATATGGTTTTCTTTATAGGCTTCTGGTTTCGCCTGGTGAGATGCAAGGGGAGAGTTGTGAGTGAAGAGGGTGGTGTGAGTTAGATAAAATGCACTTGGCCTATTTTTCACATGAGTCCAAGTGCCTGTCGACCAGAATATTAACAAGCTGGTTAAGTGGCACGTTGCTTACCCTGCTGACAACCTTTAACATCCTGCGTAATATGTTATAGTCTTTCTTCAGTATCCTCGGAAAAACTAAGGGGAACAATAGAGAATAATAGGCAGAATGCGAGAATTGACGAATTGTAAGAGTAAGGGTTGGGTTATAACAGAATGTTTTAACTTCTTAATGTAGAAGGTATGACGGAATATGAGACGACTAGGAGAGATCAGCAGATAGAATGACGCCTAGGTATTTAATTTCCGACTTGGTTTCTATTTCAGTTCCGTCTATGTTGGTCTATTGGCCATCAACAATTGTTTGAGTTTTGATATTCTCTAGATTAATGTTCGCCTTGATGACATTTCCCAATCACAACTTAGACATCACATGTCCGTTGATTCCACTGATTTACTAGTAATATGATCACAGAGTTATCATAAGGTCTGTGATACGGATTTCGTCAATACCGGACAGCTGTTACATTTCCGTAGGAAAACAACAATGGCAGATAATTAATTACCTTCATTGGGTATATTTTTATTAATAAGCCTCTTTCATTATAAAAGATTGTTTTTATACAAGCGTGTATTGTTGTCTTTTCTCAGTGGAATGTCAATCACAAAAAGTTATTTTCAATTTGAATGACTTTCACAGTAGTAGTACAGTCACATGACAACATCACTGACATGTGGCTCGTACACTTTTCAAGTATGGATATTTTTTTTGCCACAAATCAACATCATTGAGAAAATCGCTTAAAACTAATAGTGAATCATCCCAGTTAGGAACTCCTCAGTTGTGCCCACCCACGACTAAAACAAAGACTATAATTATGAATTTGAGGTAAAAAATTCAAACTGTTGACCAATCAGGCACTGGGTTTGTCAATCTGCAGTAGTTGTGCTTCTGTAAACAACACCTAACTGTTTTTTCTTGTAGACAGAATGTCAGTCATGAAAAGTTGTCTTATAACATGAAAAGATGTTCCCGTGGTAATATCACATGACCTTATTGTTTATAATATGGCCTCTAGAGGTTTCACTGTATCAGTGAGAAGAGGATCACAATAAAACCACAGTGCTCTACAGAGCTGTGTCGTTCTAGACTAGCAATCTGCAGAAGCGTTCACCAATCTTTCCTTAACGGGGAGTGAATGAAGGTAGCAAGGTTAGCTGGCTAACTATTGCCCCACTCGACTGGAATTTTAAAAAAGTGTTAATTCAAACCTTAATGATTTGTCAATAAAGTGTTACCATGACCCAATGCTATGGATGGACCTGTTCTTCATCCTGACATGGAGGGCCCCAAAGGGCAAGTTTAGGACATCCATCCGACATCTGCTAATCACGTGGAGATCAACACCTGAAATTCCAGTGGTTATAAGCGAATGAAAATAACGTTCTTCAGTGTTTCAAGATTTACATGCACTTTCGGTAGCATGTACAGTTTTCTAAACATTTTCCAAGGGATTCATGCCTCAAAAGAGAAGTAGCCATTCACAAAGTGTAATTATCAGACATCTTGGAGGTACGAGCATTTTGTCGAGATTTTCAAATCATTTGGAATATTAAATATACAAACGACAGTAAATTTACTACGATTTACTAAAACGATTGTAATCAGACAATTTTCAATCAAACTTTTGTATACAGAAACAGAGTATGGTCAGTCGCTAACTATTTTGTTGAACATATTTTGATTTTGATTATACTGATTGCGTAATCATCCATATTACTGAGCCAAACTCAATCTAATGGACCATAGACCTTTGTGGGCTAAAACTGTTTATTAATTTCTCTAATTTTTGTATTCTCCTACCCCTCGAAATGCATGTAAATTGGTGATAACTTGAACTGAAAGAAATTTTGATGCTTACGCCCTATAGATCTCAATTTATAAGATTTTCTCTGCTACCAGTCCAACATTGAAGAGTGCTATTTTCATTACTTAGTATTACCATTGTAATTTCAAGTTTACATTGGAGGCACAGCGGTAGAGTGCTCGCCGACCATGCAGGTGGTTCGGGGCTTCAACCCCCTGCCGACGCACTCCTTAACCTCGATAAACTAGGTGTAAGACTAGTAAAGATGGATGGTTGGGTATGAGGCTAGCAACCCCATCCTGTAAAAATAATTACCACTGCTACAGAAACTTCAAACCTTCAGCTTGAAGCCCCCTATTCTCCACTGGGAACGTAAAGGAATAAAAAGAATGTCAAGTAGTTGTCTGCAGCAGATTAGAGGGAACCTGTGAAATAAAGCAGTGATATCATTTTATACTGCGTGAATTCAGTCTTTTGCTGTTTTGTCGAAAGTTTATTAAGGAAACCTCTTCCACTTGCGCAACTACACGGTATCGTTTCAACTACAAGCAGCAGTACAGATGGAGATGTTTCAAAGCCAGGCAAGATCGGATTAGAAAAGCAAGATAGATCTTCGTGACTCTGAAATCTCTGTTGAAACTTACTAAGCTCATTATAAGGAATAGACAGCAGATTTTCAACACTGATTTCAGGTTAGACAGTGATTCGTTATGATTTAGAGATTTGGAACTTTCGTCACAAAATACATTTCCAACAGTCTACTTTAGACTTTCATTAACAGCTGCATTTGCTCCCCATCAAAACTCACTTCACCAGTATGAAAAAATAGGTAACACAGAACTCTAGAATTTAAATGCTGGATGGTGACAAGCAGCGGAATCCAGGACGCGCATTTCGTCCTATTTGTGACTCGTCAGGTGGTCTAGTGGATAACGCTTTGACGTTTGAAACTGTGAGCAGTGGGTTCGAGACTCGGTGGGAACATCATCACCACTCAGTGGAAAATGCAGGTACATCCAGCTGGTTGACGAGTCCGAAATAGGACGAAATGCGCATCCTGGCTGGATTCCACTGCTAGTCACCATCTACCAATTTAATTCTAATTAAATGCCCAGACATCGTCGAAACATCTGCACAAGAAGCCGACATGTCAACCTGAGACCGAGCACTTCGGTCCAATCAATCGACGTGAAAATCTGAAATTCAATTAAACACAGAAGTCTGTCAAAGAACCAACTAGAAAAACCTATTGCCAAACAAACATTCCGGGGGTGGGGAGGCTGAATGGAGTTGGAATGGACATGCTGTAAGAAGACCATTTCCTGAATAGGAAACCATAAGAGTGACATAGACGAGATCATGTGAGTGGGGGATGAATACTTGTTAGGAATCGATAAGCCAGGTAAAAATTACCTGCGAAAAACGCAGTGGAACGAAGATGTAGCACTGAAGCCCTATTGAGAAATTATCTAGGGAACCAAATATCTCAAATTATTCAATCAATAAATTATACAGGCAATTAAAAAACACTTTTAAAGACTTACTCTCATGTTTCATTGGCATTTCGATATGATGAGTAGTAGTAGTACAATTTGAACAATTAAATGAGTATAAATTATACAATTGCATCTCATTATTTGCAGTAATATTACCTGTACTACTAATATTTGCATAAAAAGTAGTAGTAGTAGTATTTATCGTTGTCTCCACTGATGATGATGTTGACGATGAAGTCTTATCAGTTAATTTTTGTAACATTGCATACGGGATACTTAAAATAAACCCAATGACAATAATAAAACTACAAGCCAACGTTGCTATACCAATTCCGCCGTCTGATCGACATCTCAGCGGCCAAAATAAACAATTCACTCGATCTATACTGAATGCTACAAGTAGACAACCGGAATTGAATACAAACCAACAACCAATCAACTCCATGATACGACATGATGTTAATGAGTAGGTGTCTAATTTTATCATAATTCTTTCATTTGTTAGATAGTATAATCCACGACCGAGAAAATCATCCAAAAATGTATTCGATATGAGGACAAGACTGTCGGAGATAGCTAGTGTCATAACATAAATTGAAAAACGATTAAATGGTTTATGCGTTAAAAATAAATAAAATGCTGACATATTTCCAAATACACCGAATAGGACAATTATAGGACTAATATAACCACGTAGAAATCCAACTGCATGTTCCATATTTTTCACATGGATTGAACATTCATCAGGCGGGAATTTAATTTCATGCGATACTTGTACATTTGAAAAATTTAAAGACATTATTTTGAGGTGATTGTAGAGCAACTTTAAAGCATTTGAAGTTGTAGTTATTAAGTTATTTATTATTCAGTTTGTGTTTATGATATTAAACCTTATAAGTGAACATTTTCGAAAGATTGCAAAAGTGTTACCGGTTTTTACTTTGTTGCGTTTAAATAAAAGTAGATGAATCATAAACAAAGTGTAGGAAAGCTGTGATTGGTTAATATTCACACATAATTCGTGTGTCTGTTTATCCATCACCATGGTAGGTTCATTGTTTGCTTATTTTTTGATTGGATAACAGGTGTCTGTCATTCTCTAGACAACCCAACTAGTAGTTAGATAATACTGATAGAATTTAACGTTGCAAAACGCATGATTGATTTAGAATGACAAGTGGAACAAGTGAAATAATACCAGGGACAGTTCAAAGCAAAAATAGTAATAGTAACAATTGACGCAATAAAGGGAGAGTACACAAACTGAATAGACAAAATGGAAAAAATATTGGTAGAGCCAAAATATGACTAGGGATTACCATACTTTGGCATAGAGGGATTAATATCATGACAGTTGGAGGGAAGGGGTTGAACGAACGTTTTTCTGTATAAAGAGATTTGGCTTTTCTGTTTCGATAGCCAAAGCTTCAGCAATACAGACGAGTCGGGTACGTAGTGATTTTGGTAAATACTTTTTTACCTTGTAGATAATTTTAAAGGCGAAGGTTGTAGAAATTGGGTGATCATTAACGACCAGATATTCAGTGATCGCGCTTCTTATTTCTCTAGTTTCACCTCTTCGTAACTTTGCAGGATAGTGTTCTTGCACACTGTTGGAGAAAACTCTGGTCGAACCATCGATATACCTCGCTCCACAAGAGCAGGTGAATGGATAAACGCACATGGAGTTGTTCAACAGCGGGATCATGTCCTTCAGGTTATTGAACAGTAACGGTCGACTGGTAAAGGCTATTCTCAAAGGTGTAGCAGTAGATTTCTTCCTACATATTTGTTGTACAGTGATTTCCTGCTGACTTGGTCGGTTGGTTCCTTCGTTCATTGTCAGAGATCCCTCTCTGTTGCCTGTGTTTGCTGGCCGGCCATCTGATCTTGAGTAGCACTGAACGAGGAGAGCTGTTGATGAAAGTCTCTACTTTGTTCTAAGTCCTCTTCATGACACGCCAAGTCTCTGATCCGAATAGTAGTACCGACATCACATTGGAGTTGAAAATGCAGATCTTATTTTTCATGCTGAGTGCTGTTGTATTGATAAATATCACCAATTTTGTAGAAAAACTGTATATAAATCCGATTTAACAGGCAAAGAAAATAAAGTCGTCATAAAGATCTTCTTTGCTGAGCTATTTATTATAATTTTTCATTTATGCCTGGGTGGTTTTGTTAGTCATCTATTCTAATTGAATCTTTCATTGTCATTTTATCAATTGATTTTTATTAATACAATAGACATAATAAGCATAAAGTTATACAGGATAAGTTAAATGGCTGTACCATGAATGTAAATTTCAAATTTGACTGCACGCTTTACAGGCAATTGGACGGGGTGGCGATGCCGCCCATTCGGTCCCATTTTGGCAGATTTTTTTCTAAGTAAGCTAGAAAATGGACCTTTGAACAACAACCTTATCAGAAAATTCTCATTTTATTGCGCGTATATGGATAACACCTTCATTCTTTGTGATGGTGATTTGGATAGGAACACAATAATAACTGATTCAATGAAGGACGTTCTGAAATGCAATTCACTTGCGAAGAGGAATCTCAAAACTGTATTGCCTTCCTGAACGTTCTACTTACAAGAAAACCAGATGTTAGCATAAAAAGAAATTTGTATAGGAAATGTAAATGGACACGACAATATGCACATTTTCATAGCTCCGTTCCTCGCAAGTACAAAAGAAATGTAGTGAAGACCCTCAGCCACAGGGTTAGAGCTATATGCTCACAAGAAGTAATTGAAGATGAATTAATCATTGCATATAATACTTTGATCGAAAATAGCTATCCTGGCAAATTTATCAAGAGACAAATGACAAAGAAGGTGGCAGAAAAGGACCACTCACTATCTGTAAACAAGAAGCTAGTTAATATATGACTGCAATTCAAGGGCGATATACCAAGTGAGGTAATTACGAATAAATAAGGAAAATCAGTTCAAAGATCTTTCCATGCTCGCCAACAACACGTCTTATTCTCTGCACGACCAGTAGTGATTCCACGACTGAAAGATGAAGTACCTAGACTAGCCACTTCCACTGCGCTTCTGCAGCCAGTTATATTGACCGTTGCCCTAGGGACTTGATTTTCAGTGTTCGAGAACATCTTTTAGTATGGCTAAATAAAGGTGTATTAAAAAGCATCAACAGTTCGATATTGGACCATCTGGTGCAAACCGGCCACAAAGCTAGCCAGTGTGGAAAAAGCCTTCTCTATCATCTACCGAGTGCCTAATAAATTGCCAAAATCATTGAAGTACGACATACTCCAAACAGCAGAGGCTATTGCAATTCGCCTCAAACAACGAGTGCTCTATGTTCAAAAGAAGCGAATCCAGCCAGCACTACTGCCCTGGCCGGTCTTCAGTAGAGACCATACACCCATGAATTTGTAATATTTTTCTGATATTCAGTGTGTATTGTTGCGTTGATGCTGTTGAACTGTTATCTATTGATATTATTGATTCGATGTTATTTAAACAACAACATTAATGTTGTTCATAACACTAATTTATTCACTGTTATGGATGCATAACTGTCGAACCTGATGAAGAAGAGCAGGTTATCGAAAAGAATATTCTTTGTTCAATATCCATTCTTTTGAAAAATAGTCAATAAAAAGTGACCTTGGAGTCAACCAATCCAGTTAGTTGTGTATATATAACTTAAATCTTTTACTGATATTTTATGAGTTTAAAGCACATTTCGATTCTTCCAGATGTTGATATGGTTGTTTTTTGTGAACACATTTCCTACAGATGTTGTTCGGATTAGTGATTGCTTTTCATTAGGCCATTGCTTTTTTTCTCCTGATAATAAAGTGTGGAAAAATGATTTCCTTCCGTTTCTACGATACCCTTAAGTAGGTGAATACAGTAGGTTAACTTAGTACTGTAAAGGTTGTCATTCACATGTTTCACCTTACATATAAAAAACTAGAATAGATTACATTCTATTATATAAGTCCAAACCAAGTTCACTTTTAATAGTTTGAAAAAATTTGGGCATTGGGTATATGATATCCATTATTATAAAGGTTTTCTTGTATTTCCCAATGAATGAAAAACAAAACGATACTGTTTTTACTGAGGTTTCTTAGGTGGGCACACTCTTTGATTTCAACGCATGAAAAAGAAAAAGAAGAAGGAATATCAAACATTACTGAAACTCTCAAGCAAAACAACTGCCCAAAGAACTTCATCAACAAAATCTACACTGACATTAGGTATGGTCGAAACAGTATTCCGAAAACATGGACCTCAACAGTTGTCATTCCATTTAGACCGGAGACGTTGGACAATAGATATCAGAAGAGTACTCAATAAGCTTGACATCAGAGTTTTCTTCAGAACATATAAGACCAAATCCCTAAAGTTTCTCTATCTGATTGTGTCTATAATTTTTGAATACAGACTGTGAGCATCCACTACAGCACCCGCAGCTCCAACCTTATGTCTCCTCTTCTGGTAAAACAAGAGTAATAATAATAATATTTTGCTTTATTCCAAAACAGTGCTTGTGATACAGAATGGAATTCTCAGCATTTTTACTACAGTATTGCATACAGTTAGTACATTAGCAATAAATAGAATTCTACATAGATTGAGGAAACCACAGTTCATTATTACAACAATACATTGGCATGTCAGTAGCAAAGGTAAAGCTGAGACAGTGTTTGAAGGTGTTAGAAAAGTGGGAGCTGTCTTATTAACTGGCGTAAGCGAGAGAAAGAGACAAAGCAGCACATAACGGAAAAAGAAGAGAGAGAAAAGGAACAGAAAGAAAGAAAATGTTGTACTTATTGATGAAGTGGGTTGGAAAGAGGAGATCCAGTTGTACTAATGACTATTTAATGAATTATAGGTGTCACGCCTAATGCTTTATTATTATTATTGTAACATCAAACTTTATTGTTATTGTATTTCTTATATTTATAATCCTCTCAATTTTTTGTTTTCAATTGTTTATTTTCTGAAAAGTGCAAACATAATTTAAGCTGTGTTATAACTGTTATTTCTTGTCTTTCCCTTCACCATACTATAACAACAGAACATTGGATTCAATACTCTGTAACATGCTAAAATTTTCAAGCTGAATCGACAGTGCTGTTTGAAACAAACTCACTGTTATTATTATTATTATCATATTTAATATTCTCAATTCGTACTTGGAATATTTTTGACTTTATAGCGTAAATGTGGACAAATTCCTCTGGTTAATTTTGTTTTAATTTTTAATTTTATTTATAATTTGAGTAAATCAGATGCAATATTGTGACAAATTCTGAGAATTCCATTCTGTATTATACTTACTGTTTTTGGAATAAAGTAGATTATTATTACCTGAGGCCTGTGTCAACCACCGAGTAGATGTGCTGGAATCATCCAAAATAATTAACAGACAAAGTACTTCAAGTCGTCTCAGGTTGGCTGAAGCTATAGCAATAAAACGATTGAAGCCTGACTTATGTGTCCAAAAAGAATCCGTTGTTGGACTTCAATTACACTGCTGACTCACGTCTTAGTAACTCTTTGTTTTCTAGTTTTTTAACTTATATTTTCACTCCCCTCCACCTTTATTTTTCGCTTAACTCTCTTCAGAGATAATTTTTCTTGATCTTCTGAGTTCTGCCCACTGTATTACATCGTCAACTTCTCATGTGACCTCATGTGCACCGAAATTTTGATCTTCTCTTATCTAATTACGTAAGTATTACTAATTTTCTTTTGTTATCACCCCAACAACACAAGTGTTAAATAATTGTTTTCAAGAAACTTCTCTCTAACAAGATATAATAATAATAATAATGATTTACTTTATTCCAAAAACAGTACTTGTGATACAGAATGGAATTTTCAGCATTAATCACAATATTGCATCTAATTTCCTCAAATT